TCATCTAGGTAACACATCCAGGAGTGAGGGGACACTGAGCCCCTCCAGGTGACACATCCCGGGGTGGGGGGACACTGGGTACAGACAGGTGACACATCCAGGGGGTCACAGCCCCTCCAGGTGACACATCCCAGGGGACACTGAGCCCCTCCAGGTGACACATCCAGGAGTGAGGGGACACTGAGCCCCTCCAGGTGACACATCTCAGGGATGAGGGGACACTGGGGCCAGCCAGGTGACACATCCAGTGGGACATGGCACCTCCAGGGTTCACATCCAGGGGGACACGGTTCCATCCAGGTGACACATCCAGGGGTGGGGGGACACTGGGCCCAGCCAGGTGACAAATCCAGAGGGGCACAGCCCCTCCAGGTGACACATCCAGGGGTGGGGGGACACTGGGTACAGACAGGTGACACATCCAGGAGCCCCCAAACCTGCCCCTCCCTGGTGTCCCCACCCCACCCCTCCAACCCTCGAGGCACACGAGTGTGCAAAGGGCGTGTAAATTGTGTGTAAAGGGGGTGTAAAGAGCATGTAAAGGACATGTAAAGGGTGTGTAAGAGGCGTGTAAGGGGGGTGTAAAGAGCATGTAAAGTGTGTGTAAAGTGTAAAGGGCGTGTAAAGGGCATGTAAAGGGCATGTAAAAGAGGGTGTAAAAGGTTTGTAAAAGGATGTGTAAAGGGTGTGTAAAGGGCATGTAAAAGGTGTGTAAAGAGAATGTGAAAGGGTGTGTAAAGGGTGTGTAAAAGGGGTGTAAAAGAATGTGTAAAGGGTGTGAAAAGGGTATGTAAAAGGATGTGTAAAGGGTGTGAAAAGGGTGTGTAAAAGGGGTGTAAAAGAATGTGTAAAGGGTGTGAAAAGGGTATGTAAAAGGATGTGTAAAGGGTGTGAAAAGGGTATGTAAAAGGGGTGTAAAAGGATGTGTAAAGGGTGTGAAAAGGGTATGTAAAAGGGGTGTAAAAGGATGTGTAAAGGGTGTGAAAAGGGTATGTAAAAGGGGTGTAAAGAGCGTGTAAAGGGCATGTAAAGGGCATGTAAAAGGTGTGTAAAAGGGCATGTAAAAGGCATGTAAAGGGGGCGTAAAGGGCATTTAAAGGGCGTGTAAAGTGTGTGTAAAGAGCATGTAAAAGGGTGTGTAAAAGGGCATGTAAAGGGCGTGTAAAGGGTGTGTAAAAGGCATGTAAAGGGCGTGTAAAAGGGCATGTAAACGGATGTGCAAGAGGAGTGTAAAGGGGGTGTAAAGAGCATGTAAAGGGAGTGTTAAGGGTGTGTAAGAGGCATGTAAAGGGTGTGTAAAAAGGGGTGTAAAGGGGGTGTAAGAGGTGTGTAAAGAGCGTGTAAAGGGTGTGTAAAGAGCGTGTAAAAAGAGGTGTAAAGGGCATGTAAAGGGTGTGTAAAAAGGGGTGTAAAGGGGGTGTAAAAGGTGTGTAAAGGGTGTGTAAAGGGTGTGTAAAAAGGGGTGTAAGGGGGGTGTAAAAGGTGTGTAAAGAGCATGTAAAGGGTATGTAAAGGGTGTGTAAAGGGCGTGTAAAGGGTGTATAAAAAGGGGTGTAAGGGGGTGTAAAAGGTGTGTAAAGAGCATGTAAAGGGTATGTAAAGGGCGTGTAAAGGGTGTATAAAAAGGGGTGTAAAGGGTGTGTAAAGGGCGTGTAAAGGGTGTGCAAAAAGTGTGTAAAGGGCATACATAGGGTGTGTAAAAGGAGTGTAAACAGCATGTAAAGAGCACGTAAAGGGCATGTAAAGGGGGTGTAAAAGGCATGTAAAGAGCATGTAAAGAGTATGTAAAGGTGTGTAAAGGTCCCCCCCCAATGAGCTGCAGCCACCCCCGATTTCTCTCTTTTATGTTAAAATCATTTTCCAGGAAGATACAAAAATATCCCAGGGTGGGGGGAGGGGCACCCCCAGGACCCCCTCCGGGACAGAGACACGGATGGGGGGGAGGGGCTGAGCCCCCCCCAACCCCCCCCTGAGCTGGTCAGTGCGGGGGGGAGTGACAGGGGGTGACAGGGGGTGACAGTGTGTGACAGGCTCAGATTGGCACAGGGGGGCACAGTGTGTGTGTGGGGGGGGCTGTCCCCAATTTTGGGGGGTCTCAGGGATGCTCCTCCAACCCCCAAAAAAGACTCTTAGAAGGGGACACCCTCATCCCTCACCCCTTGGGGGCTTTAGTGTCATGGGGGCCCCTATTAGTGAGGGGGTGTTTTGGGGGGCTTCAGGCCCAGGAGTGCTTTGGGTGGGGTCCCATTTTGGGCAGGGGCACCCAGGTCATGGGAGGGTCCTAAAAATAGGGGTGCACCTGAGGTGGAGGCACCCAAACCCTTGGGGGTCACCAGATGGAGTGGGGGCCCATGGGTGGGGAGACTAATTTGGGGAGGGGGTCTGGATTTTAAGGGAGGTACCCAGATCCTCTTGAGGGATCAGGATGGAGTGGGGGAGTCCCAGGTTTGGGGGCAACTAATTTGAGGGGGGTCTGGATTTTGGGGGTACTGAGGTCCATTAGGGGTAAATAATTCGGGGAGGGGTCCAGAACTGGGAGGGGACACCCCAGGTCCTGAGAGAAGAGGGGAGTTGTGGGGGTCTCCCCGAGGGTCTGAGGGCACTTTGGGGTCTCCCCACCTCCAGCAGATTTTGGGGGATCCAGCTTTTGGGGGCCCCATTAGCAAGCAGGGAGGGGGGGCCCAATCATGGGGGTCCCTGCCTGAGTGGTTGGGGGAGATCCCAATTTTGGGGGAGGAGCCCCACGGTGGGGAGAGGCACAGTCCTGGGTGGGGATCCCTCCATCTTAGGGGGTATCCCTGACCCCAGGGGGTTCCCCGATCCCTGGGGGGGTTCCCTGGTCCTGGGGGATGTTCCCGAGTCCCAGTGGTTGTTCCTGGTCCGGAGGGCTCCCCGTGGGGGTGGGGTTCCCTATTCCTGGGGACTGGGGGGTGTTGCTGGTCCTGGGGGAGGTCCCCTGATCCTGGGGGGGTTCCCCATTCCCAGGGGTGTTCCCCATTCCTGGGGGGTGTCCCCTAATCCTGGGGGGTATCCCCCATTCCCAGGGGGGTTCCCCATTCCTGGGGGAGGTCCCCTGATCCTGGAGGGTGTTCCCCATTCTCTGGAGGTGTTCCCTATTCCCAGGGACATTCCCCAGTCCTGGGGTGTCCCCAGTCCCAGGGGTGTCCCCATTCCCAGGTGGGTTCCCCATTCCTGGGGTGTCCCATTCTCGGGGGTCCCCATTCCCAGGGACATTCCCCAGTCCGGGGTGTCCCCTGATTCCTGGAGAGTGTTCCCCATTCCCAAGGGACATTCCCCAGTCCTGGGGGATGTCCCCTGACCCCGGGGCTGTCCCCCATTCCCAGGGTGGGTTCCCCATTCCTGGGAGGTTCCCCGTTCCCAGGGTGGGTTCCCCATTCCCAGGGGGTGTCCCCCAGTCCTGTGGGCTGTCCCCAGTGTCCCCCCCGGGGTGGGGGGGGCTCTAGCAGCGCCCCACCTTGGCGTCCCCGATGGCCCCCCAGACGTCGAAGACGAACTCGTCGGGGAAGGCGAAGTCCCCGAGCTGCGAGTCCAGAGCCTCGGCCAGAGCGTCGGGGTCCCGGGCGTCCCGGCCCAGCTCCACCATCGTGGCCGCTGCGGGGACAGGGACAGGGACATCAGGGGACAGAGACATCATCAGGGGACATCAGGGGACAGGGACATCATCAGGGGACAGGGACATCTGGGGACATCAGGGGACAGGGACATCATCAGGGGACAGGGACATCGAGGTCACAGGTGTCACAGCCCAGCTCCACCATCGTGGCCGCTGCGGGGACAGGGACATCAGGGACATCAGGGAATAGGGACAGCAGGGGATATCAGGGGACAGGGACATTGGGGTCACAGGTGTCCCAGCCCAGCTCCACCATTGTGGCCACTGTGGGGACAGCAGGGGACATCGGGGGACAGGGACATCAGGGCAGGGGTCATTGGGGAGGGCAGGGGACAGGGGGGACAGGGGGACATCAGGGGACAGGGACATCAGGGGAAAGGTGAGGACACAGGAGGACATCAGGGGACAGGGGGCTTTTGGGGGATCCCAGGGGTATTTTGGGGTGTCTCTCCCAGATGCCCCTGGAAGTCTCCAGCAGAGCCCAGGATGGGGTTCTGGGGGGTCCCTGGGTGTGTCTGGGGGTCCCTGGGCTGTGTCTGGGGGTCCCTGGGGTGTTTGAGGGTCCCTAACGGTGTCTGGGGGTCACTGGGGTGTCTGGGGGTCCCTGGGTGTGGTCCCTAGGGGTGTTTGGGGGCTCACCCAGCTCGCTGTCCCTGATGCCCATGTAGCTCTCCAGCAGATCCCAGAGGACTCTGGGAGGGTCCCATGCCCCATGGAAGGCTGGGGTTGAGGGGGTTTGGGGTCTCTGGGTGTGTTGGGGGTTTGGAGGGGCTTTTGGGGTCCCTGGGGTGTTGGGGGCTCACCCAGCTCGCTGTCCCTGATGCCCATGTAGCTCTCCAGCAGAGCTCAGAGGGCTCTGAGGGGGAACCAGTGCCCCATGGAAGGCTGGGGGGGTTGGAGGGGGGGTTTGGGGGGTCTCTGGGTGTGTCTGGGGAGTCCCTGGGTGTGTTTGGGGGTCCCTGTGGGTTTTGGGGGACTCACCCAGCTCGCTGTCCCTGATGCCCATGTAGCTCTCCAGCAGAGCTCAGGGGAGTCTGGGGGGGGTCCTGTGCCCCATGGAAGGTTTGGGTTGGAGGGGGTTTGGGGGCCTGAGTGTTGGGGTTGAGGGTTTTGGGGTCCCTAGGTGTGTCTGGGGGCTCACCCAGCTCGCTGTCCCTGATGCCCATGTAGCTCTCCAGCAGAGCTCAGGGGAGCTCTGGGGGGAGTCCTGTGCCCCATGGAAGGCTGGGGGAGTTGGAGGGGGTTTGGGGGCTCCCTGGGTGTGTTGGGGGGCTTGGAGGGGGTTTTTTGGGGGTCCCTGGGGGTGTTGAGGGGCTCACCCAGCTCACTTGGCCCCCTGGCCCCCTCCGGCCCCCCAGCCCCTCACCTGGCCGCAGCCTCAGTGCCCGCTCCAGGTACTCGTCCTCGGAGATTTCCTGCCCGTCCTCGTCCTGGGGCTCCCGGGTGCAATCCAGGACGGCCCAGACGAAATCGGGGAAGAAAAGGGCGAATCTGTGGGAATCGCTGAGGGCGCCGCGCTCGGGGCTCGCTCTGCACGTGATGAGCTGGGGCAGCTCCGACAGCCACCTGGGCCAGGTGAGGAACCGCAGCGTGAGGGACCCCCCAGACCTGCTTGGGGGGAGGGGGGGGCCCCCCCAGCCCTGGGGGTCACCACGGGGTGGGAGGGGGGAACTCCCGAGGAGCCAAAACGTGTCCGGGGGGGCCATTGGGTTCCCCTCCATCTCCCACCCCAAATCAAGGGAGGTCCCCATTTTCCTGTCCCACCCCAAATCAAGGGAGATCCCCATTTTCCTGTCCCACCCCAGTCGAGGAGGAGGTTCCCATTTTCCTGTCCCCCCTTCCCAAGCCGAGGGGGGGGCCCTGGAGCCCCCCCAGGTACCTCAGCCGCTCCATGTCCTGCTGGGCGATGTTCCCGAGGCTGGTGTGGATGAGGGAGCTGCAGAGGAGCACGGTCAGCACCAGCAGCCACCGGGAGCTCTCCAGGTCCCCCTGCAACGACCCCATCCCGGTCAGACACCCCCAGGACCCCGCTGAACCCCAGGGTTTGGGGAGGACCCTCCCCCTCCACCCCCACGAGCCTCGGGGTGTCCCTGGGGCATCCCAGGCAGGGCTGAGATCCCGAGGGTCCTTCCCACTCAGGATATTCCACTATCCTCAATTTTAACTCTTGGGGTCCCTCAGACCCTCCTCCCCCAGATACTCCCCCCATCCCTCCTCCAGGACCTCATTCCTAATTCTGCTGCACTTTTTTTTTTCCCAAAACCCAGGAATTTGGCAACCTGCCTGACCCCATGGCCACCGTGAGGGGGGGGCACACACCAGGGCCCAGGTGAACCCCAAGTGCTGGGGGTGCTCAGGGGGACCCCCCAGGGCCTCACCCACCTCGTCCAGGTGCACCTCGGTGTGCAGCAGGACCAGGGTGTGGTCAGACAGGTGAGGGTGGGGGAGGCAGCACATCCACATCCGGCTGGGGGGGGGGTCCCCGGAGACCCCTGGGGGGACACGGGTGTTGCACAGGGGGGAAACAGAGGGGGAAGGAGCAGGTCCCACCTCGGCCACTCAGGTACCACCTCGGCCACTCAGGTACCACCCTGGCCTCCCAGGTACCACCCTGGCCTCCCAGGTACCCCAACCACCATGCAGGTACCCCAACCATGCAGTACCCCAACCATGCAGGTACCTCACCCATCCAGGTACCTCACCCATCCAGGTACCCCAACCACCATCCAGGTACCCCAACCAGGTACCTCATCCATCCACAGGCATCCCAACCATGCAGGTACCCCAACCATCCAGGTACCCCAACCATGCAGGTACCTCATCCAGGTACCCCAACTATGCAGGTACCTCACCCATCCAGGTACCCCATCCATCCAGGTACCTCACCCATCCAGGTACCCCATCCATCCAGGTACCCCATCCATCCAGGTACCTCATCCAGGTACCCCAACCATGCAGGTACCCCACCCATCCTGCTGCCTCAGCCTCCAGGTACCCCAACCATGCAGGTACCTCATCCAGGTACCCCAACTATCCAGGTACCCCACCCATCCTGCTGCCTCAGCCATGCAGGGCAGGACCTCCCTCCCCTTCCCAGCCTGTCCCTCAGGTGGGACTCCACTCACCTGTCCCTCAGGTGGGACTCCACTCACCTGTCCCTCAGGTGGGACTCCACTCACCTTCCTGGTCAGACCCAATGGCAGCCACGACCACCACGGGCTGTTTGACCCCCGACAGCACCTTCAGGGCCTCGGGATAGACCACCAGCCCCTCCTCCTGGGAATTCTCCACCAGGCAGACGGGCCTGAGCCCCTCCTGCCCCGCTGCCAGCGCATCCAGCTGCCCTATCCTGGCAGGGGAAGGGGACATGGGTGGGTGTGGGGTGGGCACAGCCCCAAACACGGAGCAGCACACACTGGAAAGCTGGAATGGTTTTTGGGGGGAAAGGACCTTGAAGCTCGTTCCATCCCAGCCCCTGCCACAGGCAGAGACACCTTCCACTAGCCCAGGTGGCTCCAAGCCTTGTCCAGCCTGGCCTGGAACAGCTCCAGGGATGGGGCAGCCACAGCTTCTCTGGGAGATTCATTCCAGTGCTTACAGCTAAAGATTTCTCTCTCAGATCCATCTAAACACCCTCTTTTCCAGGGTGAGGCCACCTTCAGGTGTCCAAAGTCCCTCCCAGCTCTCCTGGAGGCCCTCTGGGCACTGGAAGGTGCTGGAAAGTCTCCCCAGAGCCTTCCCTGCTCCAGGTGAGCCCCCTCAGCTCTCCCAGCCTGGCAATTGTCCCGCTCAGTCCTTCTCGATCCCCTCCAATTTTCCCAGCAATTCCCGCTGGGCACCAACTCCTTTGCTGGGGAGACACCTGGAAGAGGTGCAGGAACCCCCTCCCATGGCTTTAAGGGGAAGGAGAGGGGATTTAGGGGGATTTGGGGGAGAAATTCCTCCCTGTGAGGGTGGTGAGGCCCTGGCAGAGGCTGCCCAGAGAAGCTGTGGTTGCCCCACCCATTGTCAGACACCAGCTCAGTGATCGTTGGGCCAAATCACCTCATGGGTGGTGTGTGAGTGTGTGGAGGGGGAAGGGGTGGGTCAAACCTCACAGGGGTTTGGGGTGGCCCCCATATCCCCCCCCTGGCAGGCCCTGGAGCCCACACGGGAAAGCCTCGGAGGAGCTGCCAGTCACAAACAGGCCAGGAAAACTCTGACACCCCCCCAGGTCCTGCAGCCCCTGTGACACCCCCCCAGGTCCTGCAGCCCCTGTGACACCCCCCAGGTCCTGCAGGAAAACTGTGACCCCCCCAGGTCCTGCAGGAAAACTGTGACACCCCCAGGTCCTGCAGGAAAACTGTGACATCCCCCAGCTCCTGCAGGAAAACTGTGACACCCCCCCAGCTCCTGCAGGAAAACTCTGACACCCCCCAAGTCCTGCAGGAAAACTGTGACAGCCCCAACTCCTGCAGCCCCTGTGACCCCCCCAGCTCCTGCAGCCCCTGTGACACCCCCAGCTCCTGCAGCCTCTGTGACACCCCCAGGTCCTGCAACCCCTGTGACACCCCCACCTCCTGCAACCCCTCACGCAGCTCAGGTGGGCAGGACAGGGAGAACAGGGAGGACAGGGAGGACACTGTCCCTCGGCCTGGCCTGGAACCCCAGAGTGGCTGGTGGGTCCCAGAGCCCCTGGAGGGGTTGGCCACAGGGACCAGAGCAGATAAAACCAGGCTGTGGCCCTGCCATTGACCGTGTGAGAGCTGCTCTGCCACGAGGTTCTAGTGGCAGCTTCAATATCTGCCTCTCCCTCTTTCTCCTCTCTTCCCGTTCCCTCTGCTTCTCTTTCTCTGCTCCTTTCCTGATGTTCTGGGTGGCTTTGGGAGCTGGAGGGGTTGGATCCCGACCCAGCCAGCATGGGGTTAGGAAGGGCAGGGCCTGTCTGATCATCCTGATCTCCTTTTATGCTCAGGGGACCCTCCTGGTGGATGAGGGGCAGGCTGGGGATGTGTCTGTCTGGACTCCAGCAAAGCCTTGGGCACCATCTCCCAAAAAATACTCCTGGAAAAGCTGCAGCCCAGGGCTTGGACAGGGCACTCTGTGCTGGGTTAGGAACTGGCTGGAGGGCCCAGAGTGGTGGGGATGGAGCTACATCCAGTGGGGATCCGGTCACCAGTGGTGTCCCCAGGGGTCAGTGCTGGGCCCAGTCCTGTTTAACACCTTTATCGATGATTTAGATGAGGGGATTGAGTCCATCGTTAGTGAATTTGCAGCTGACACCAAGCTGGGGGGAGTGTTGATGTGCTGGAAGGCAGGAGGGCTGTGCAGAGGGACCTGGACAAGCTGGATCCATGGTCTGATTCCAAGGGGATAAGGTTCAACCAGGCCAAGGGCCGGGTCCTGCCCTTTGGCCACAACAAGCCCCGGCAGCCCCACAGGATGGGGACAGAGTGGCTGGAGAGCAGCCAGGTGGAAAGGGATCTGGGGGTGCCGATTGAAAGGAGGCTGAACATGAGCCAGAGTGTGCCCAGGGGGCCAAGAGGGCCAAGGGAACCTGGCCTGGCTCAGGAAGAGTGTGGCAGCAGGAGCAGGGCAGGGATTCTGTCCCTGTGAGGCCACTCCTGGAGTGCTGTGTCCAGCTCTGGGCCCCTCAGGTCAGGAAGGACATGGAGGGGCTGGAGCAGCTCCAGGGAAGAATGACCAGGCTGGGGAAGGGACTGGAGCACAATTCCCATGAGGAGAGGCTGAGGGAGCTGGGGGAGCTCAGCCTGGAGAGGAGGAGGCTCAGGGGTGACCTCAGCACTCTACAATTCCCTGACAGGAGGGGGGAGCTGGGTGGGGGTTGATCTCTTCTCCCAGGAACCAGCAGTAGGACAAGAGGGCTCGGTCTCAAGCTCTGCCAGGGGAGGTTTAGGTTGGATATTAGGAGGAAATTCTTTACAGGGAGGGTAATCAGGCACTGGAATGGGCTGCCCAGGAGGGGGTGGATTCTCCATCCCTGGGGGTGTTTAAGGACACACTGGATGTGGCATCAGTGCCACGGTCTGGTAACTGTGGTGGTCGTGGATCAAGGGTTGGACTTTATGATCTCAGAGATCCTTTCCAACCCATCTGATCCTGTGATTCTATGATTCTCTGATTCTATGACCTTGACTGAAGTGCTCTGGATTGGTGTGTGCCGGGTCAGTGTTGTGGGGGCGTCCTTTTGAACTTTTGCCAAGTTCCCTCATTTTCTCACCTAAATTAATAAAAGTACCTCTCGGGAACGAGCCCGTGGCTTGTTCTCTTGGCACTGTCTCGAGGTATTAAAGAGCCTCATATTTATATTTTAAAGGAAAACTCCTGGCTGAGCCCTCGAGCTCCCGGGCCCGGAGTGTTCCACCCGTCCCTGGAGTTGTCCCAGGCCGGGCTGGATGGGGCTCGGAGCCTCCTGGGCTGGGGGAAGGTGTCCCTGCCCGTGGCAGGGGGCTCTGGGGGAGGCTGGGAGGTCCCTTCCCACCCAACCCCCTCTCCCAGGGACACCCTCAGTGCTGCCCTCGTGGGATCCCCCCTGTCCTTCCCTCCCCCTGGGCCTTGGGGTGACCCCTTCTCCCCTCCCCACCCCCAGAGCTCAGACCTGCCCCGTCCTCGAGTGTCACCCGACGGTGACAGTGACAGCGGGGGTGTCTTCACCCACCGCTGACCTGTCCCCCTCGAGTCCCCCCCAGCCTCACCGGGACCCCAAACCCCCTGTCCGGTCCCTGCCCGGGGTCTCCGTCACTCACCAGGGTCCCCGTGCAGTGTAAACAGGAGCCCTCCTGCCCCGCGTCCCGTTCCCGGGGGAGGGCCGGGGGGGTCTCGGGGGGCTCTGGGTGCTGCTGTTGTTGTTCCCCATCCCTGTCCCGGCTGTGTCACAGCGCTGTCTCCGCCGAAGGGGGGATGGAGTGTGCTCCTGCCCGACCTTTATAACCGTGCCTGACCCGGCCCCCTCCCCTCCTCTCCCCTCCCCTCCCCTCCCGTCCTGTCCCATCCTGTCCCCTCCCTTTCCGAGAAGCGGGGGCTGGCGGGGGGGAGTCGGAAATGGGTGTTTTTTGAGGTTTGGCCGCGGAAGGACGAGCGGGAAGCGAACCCGGCTGGACGGGGAGGGCGGTCCGAGCCGGGGGCGGGAGGTCGGGGCTTTATAAACCATCGGGGGGTTATAAACCAAACCATCGGAGCGACTCGTGCCCGGGCAAAACTCGCGCTGAAAGCGAAGGGACAGCGGGAAACACCAGCCCTGAGCAGCGGCGAGAAACTCCCCGTTCCCAGCTTTCCTCTGAGCCCAAAGCGAAACTTTTCCAGCGGGATTTCCAAAGGCGCTTTTGGAGTTTTTTTGTTTTGTTTTGTTTTTTGGGGGGTTTGGTTTTGTTTTGTGTTTTGGTTTTTTTTATTATTTTTGTTTTTTATCAGACTGAAACGAGGAGGGGAGAGGGGGGGGAGAGAGGGGTGCGGGACCAGCCCGGGGTCGAGGCTGGGGGTGAGGGGGACAAAACGGGGAGCAGCCGAAATTCAGGAACGCTCCCACTCCACGCTCTGGAGCTCGGCTGACAAACCCAGCCGGGACCAAACGTGGTTTTATGGGATTTCCTAAGGCTGGATGTGCCCGTGTTAAACGAGAGGGAAGGTGGCAAATGCTGAACCTCCCACAAGGGAGAGCCCCGGAGCGAAGGAGCCCCCCAAATCCGCTGGAATTCCGACTGAAAAGACCCATTTCATAACTCTCCCCCTCCAGCTCCTGCTGTACAATCCTGCCTGCAAATTGTAGGGGGCTTGCGTGGGTG